ATAGGGAAAGGGTCAAGACTTATTTATTTTTATGGGTATATATGGAATTTACATGTTTTCCTAACGTTAATACTTTTTACACAGAAGTGTGATTTCAGAGCTCCAGGAAGTACTTTTACCACCCAAAATACTTGTTCGGCCTATTCTCTAATTCTCCATCATTTTTGTTATAGGAGCAAAAGCCTTTATCACATAATTAGAAAGAAACCTTATATCATGACTGATACGGGGCTCTTAGGGAAGGTTCTGAAGGAGAAAACAGGAGAAGTCATTACAGCAAGAAGCAAAGTCTCCCTTTATTTCGAGTCCAGAGCCCAGTGACTTTCTTCCTGCTTGACCTGTACTAGACACTAGGCAAGTTACAAGGAAGAAGTGTCATTGGTCCTCACATTTAATTCAGTAACGGAGGCCACTTAAAGACCATCTTGGCATCACTTGAGATTCTCAACTTTTAACACAGCACGAGAGAATTTCAAGCATATCATGAGTTTCACTCCATTCACTAGAAAAACAAAAGCAAATCACAAGTAAAAAGAGATGCCCTACCTCCCACAAGCCAAGGAAGCCTGGCTGTTGGAGTTGCATAGGAAAACAAGAGTGGCAATTAACTCTAGAAGCATTCTGCTCTCAGGTGGAAATGTGTGTTTGACCTCAAACCAATGAACAATCCAAAATGTATATATGCTAAGAAATACCCTGAAAGCTCAGTGCAACTGTGAACTCTATAGTGTGTTTTCTAAGCCAATACCAGGTCACTATAAGGGAAGGTGGCTCAGGAGCTAAGAGGGGAGGAGAAAGGAGCAGAGGGAGGGGCTATTCCCCTAACTTTCCCTCCTCTTCTGTATACATTTGGAAACAAAAAACGGCACTTCACACTCACTCTGCTGGACGTGAGCGATACGTGGAGCATGAGAAGGACTTTGAGTCTCTCAGAGGGAAAGGCGGTAGAAATCTGAAGCTTGTGCTTATTAAAACAATTAAAAGTAGATTCCTGGATCCCAGATTCCCAGGCCTGTAAGAGTGGTGTGCGTTCTGCCCAGAGGTGTAACTGAGTGCAGTCTTATCAGGGCATGGGCGAAGGAACAAAATAGAAGGCAGTGCTTTCTGGACAACACTGAAGCTTGCATTTTGCATCAAATACTAAGTAAAAAGGAGACATGTGAGACAGGTTACTCACCAAACTTCGCTACACAGGGCTCGTTGGCAGTCTGTAGAGGGAAGAAAAACAGGAACTGGTCAGGATGATAGTGTCACAACTTTAACTGATTAACTGATACTAATTTAGAGCCTCTGATTCCTGAAGCAAACTTCTCTTGCCTAGCCACATAAAAAACCTCCCTCCACCTTGGTTTGGGTTTCTCAGCTTTCCTTCATAGATGGCAGGCTCCTTCCTTTGCCTCTCATTACACAGCTCCTCTTCTCAGTCTTCTAGGAAAAAGTTAAGCTCTCATTCCATCCACTTAACCTCTGACCACAGGATAATTGTTTGTTCTTGGACTCTCCTCTTGGGCTATAGAAATTCTCTATACAGTCATCTCTGCACCCCGGTGACTGCACAAGGAATCCACTGGCATGTGAAAGTAAATAGTAAAACTTATGTTTATCTTTATTTTAAATAAGAAATTAATCTATAGAAATATTTACATCTCAGATTGAAAAAAACACCATTATTTTATGTTCAGATAATTATGCATCATAGATATAGTAACATGCTTTGAGGAGACCTCCGTTTCAAACTGTTGCAATGTAACAGTTTACATGCTACAAGAAGCCTTCAGTGTGGTTAATTTTATAAATATAGATATTTAAATACTAAAGGCTTTAAAATACTTAGTAGTAGTATAAGGTACGGCCATAAATAAGTTTTGTACCCTGTAAAGTTCATTTGTTTCCTTGTGGCAAAGTGCTTATGAGACTTTGCACTTAACCATGATGCAACTTTTTCTTTTATAGGGTTTCTCTGGCTGCTATGTTAGGAATAAATTAAAGGCTGACAAGAGCAAAAACAGTGAGGCCAGCTAAGAGATGGGTATAATCCCCTAGGCAAGAAAGCATGGCCTCTGACCAAGGTGTTAGCAATAGAGGTAAGTGATTGGAAAGTGAGCCAACAGGAGTTCCTGACAAGGATATGAGATGAGAAAATGAGAAGAGACAAAAATGACACCAAGGTTTGGGGCATGATCTAATGAGAAGGATGAACTGTTCATCACTGAAATGAATGAGATTTAAGAGGAGTCACGACGAATGGGGGAAATGAATCACGAGTTCATTCTTGGACATGTCAAGTTTGTGATGCTCATTAGACGGCCAGGTAGGCGTGTCAAGTAGACAGCGGGACCTGTAAGGATGGAATTTAAGGGGTTCTGATAATATAAATTTATGTTAAATTCTATGTGTGCTTTAAGATTTGAGACTGTGTAAGATCACAGGTCAGTGGGTATAGACAGAAAGCAGTAGTGGGACACTGCAATGTTCAGAGGACAGGGAATAAGAAAGAGCCTGCAAAGGAGACTTAGGAAAGGCCCGTGTTTCAGAAAGGAAACCTGGAGAAGGAAGTATTTCAGAGAGGAAGTATTTCAGACAATATTAATTTTAAAAAAGACCTTTGCACTATTGGACAACAGACTGACAATTTACTGTCTTAACGTGGTAATAAGCACACTCAAAGATGCGCTCTTCCATTTTGATCTATTTTTTTGGTGAGGTAACTCTTCAGTTATGACAGTCAAAACCATGAATCAAGGAAAATTAACCTAGAATATATAGCTCTCAAATTATTGTATTACCAAGTGTTAAACTACGATTAAGAAAGTAAAAACACATTTATCAAATTACTAAAATATTTCAGTTATTTTCAGAATGCTTACATATTAACATGCTATGTAAAATACAGTATTTTGGTAAAAGCAAAATGGCTTTGCACTGTGAATAAACTAAGTATTACCTGGTTCATCCTTATAAATTTCTATTTTTTTGTAATCTTTTTAATATATACAGTTAGCTTCTTTATAACTTGTAATTAGCATACATAGTGGGATTGACCTCAAAAACATTTTGTTGGTAGAGAGGTGCAATCAGAAAGTTTGGAAGTCACTATTCTAGGAGATAAATGACTGGATTCCTACAATTGCTTTTACTCCTGCAATTATTTCATCCTCATTTTGGGGTATCTTAGAAGAATTGTTGAAATTCAATTTAGTTTAACCCATGACAGGCATGTGATAGGGACTCCCTTAACTTCAGTTTCCTAATTTATACAATGGAGGAAGTAACAGCACCTAGCCCAGTGAAGTAAGGGATGGTTTAAATGAGGTAAGTCTTATGAAGGACTTTGCCCAGATATTCTGTCTGGTCCTGCTTATTACGTGTTAACTGTTTTGATAATGCTCATTATAAAGAAGAATTAAACTTAAAGCACCTACATTGCCAACATTATGCTAGCATCGTAAGCAAGAGAAACAAATATATTTAAGAAGAAGTTCATAAACTTTCTAGAAAGACGTGACTACACGCCTGAAGCAACTGGGTAACAGTCTAAATACAAGTGAATGCCAAAATAGGAGCCACAGGTAACATTTATGCTATCTACTCTCACATATGAAGTGTGTGCAGAAACCTGAGGCCACAGACAAATTGCCAGAGACAGAAATCCTGGATCCTGTGCTAGGGGCTGCTTTAATGTCTACTCAGAGCTTACAGAAACCCAGAAACCACCCTTCTAATATTCTGTAATCACTGCCACAAATGAAAATCTGTTTAATCACAAAAATCACCTGTTTGGCAGTGAGGCATAGTCTTTGGTTGAGAAAGTGAAATAGATAAGCAAGGAGTACCCATTTTGTTAAACATCTTTTTCAAATTTATTCTCATTGTAATGTCATTCATAGTACTGGTGTAAATACCCATCACTACTATCTACTGACAGTCTGTTACGGGTCAGGCACTGTACTAATCTCATCAGCCCTTACCACAACTCCACGAGATAAGCGGCACACTCACACACGAGGAAGTAAGCGTGAGAAGGATTACATAACCAGCCCAAGGCCATGCAGCCGCTGCAAGGTCAGGCTGAGATCCAAACAGAGCCGGTCTGACTCAGAAGTCCCACCCCTACCCCTCTGTGGAGCAGTCTGTATTTCTAATCCTGGTAATGCTTGGAAGGTGAAAATATCCACTTGTAAAGAAACATGGGACTTTTTAAGTTGACTTCAGTTCCTTTGTGCTCAGAAAGATCAGCTGCTCTTCTAACCCTACTTTGATTAAAGCCCGGATTTATATAGTTGGGTTAATAATTCACAATTATTTCTCCAAACCAACTCCAATCAGATCAACATTTGGAAATAGAACCTACTCTGCTTTTAAATACAACTTTCCCTTTTGAAAGTATCCTTCATTCCATTGAAATAGAGGACTCTCGTGAACATTTGATTTCTTACAGACAATTTCTGTGCACCTCGGAGTAGTCCAACCCCTTGGGCTCCTAGCACATTCTTTCAGTGAAATGTCTTTGGAAGGAAGAGAGAGGAAAAAGAAAAAAAATTCTCCCAAAGAAATCTGTTGGTTTTGAAGAAGCCAATCTTCATGCCAGTTTTTGAATTAGTGCCCAGAGAGGCTAGAAAGTGGACTTTTGTATGTAAGAACTAGAGTGGACAAATGACTCACCATTCACCAGCCACTCAGTCCTCTTTGCCAAAAATACTGATGTGTGGCCAATAGGGAACGGGAGGAACAGGCGAGTGGAGCGTGGAATACATGAGCTACTATCACTGCGCTGTCGGCCAAGGCCATTGGCTCTTCCCGTAGGAAATAAGCCTCCATGGCATCCTGTCCGGACAATACCCTGAAAACCTTTCCAACTTTCCCAGATTTGGAACAAACTCTGGGCCATTTCTTGAGAGGCAGAACCTTTCGCTGAGAAGCTGCATGCCATCTCGAAGAATCTGGAATCAGAGCTCTAACACAGGGCACTAATCAAGTTCAGTTCCGGCAAGATGTGACCCCGATGCCTCTGGCAGAATGAACCCTCCTCTTTCCCTTTGTAAGGGCAGCTATGTGCCCTGGAGAAAGGCATTTCCCTCCTCTCCTCTGCACTGGTTCCCCAAGCACATGCAGGAATGGATGACACATAAAACATACCCAGTGTTCTTCAAGGCCATCTGGCTCTAGAACTAAAAGGTAGTTTTTAGAAGGAAAGGCACTTCCAAATGGAAGCTGTTGCTGTTCTCACCCTTCCCCTTCTTCAGAAATCTAAACCCTCAGAATTCCTGGGTTTTTTTTTCCTTTCTCAAAGCTTCACTGCTTCAGAAAGTTCAGAGTTCTGCTTGAGACAATGAGGCTATGATTAGAAGTTCCTCTGTTGCACACCCTGTGTACAGCTATCAAATACAAATGGGCTACTGTGTAAAAAGTTGGCCAAGGCTATACTTTTCCCAACTAAAACCCAACAACTACAGTGTCTTGACTGCTTCCTTCTGCATCTTTTCCCAATTGCTTTCAGATATCTTATGTGGTAGAATCGTATCTTTGAAATGGCCAATTCTCTTAGAGAAATGTTTCTATAGTCATGGATTTCATACAACAGCCCTTTCTTAGATAGGAACTTACTACCTTATTCTCTGCAATGCTCAGAATCTCTAGATGTACCCAGGAATGGGCTAAATCCTAAATTAAATTAAATCCTAAATGAAGCATTTATTTTCTTTTTGGTCAGTGCTGTGTAATCAACAATCAGAAAAAGACGTCTACCTAGAACCTAATGTATCTCCATCCCCTTCACTAGACCCACAACTTGGACTGGAGCTCAGTGGGAAATTCCTGATAAGGATCAGGGGCTGCCCAACTAGGAAAGTGCTTCCTCCTTCCTCCATGAAGCCTTCCCTGATCAACCTAACCCAGAGTCATTGCCCCCTAAAGCATTTATGTTCTCTACTACCCTTAGATAAATTATCAATCACTGCATTTTATAGCTAGAAGGAACACTATAATGAACAAAGCCACCATTATGCAGATGACAAAACTGAGAACCAAAAAGATTAGATGCCTTTCAAATTCATACAGCTAGTTCTTGGGAGACCTAGAACCAGAATCCTGATCTTCCTACTACATCAATGTCATTTCCCTTCTCAAAGATACACTAACCATCTGCCACTTACCTTATTCTGGCTTTCCATTACCCTTTTATGTCTTTTCCTCAGTAAGACTATAGCTTGCATCCCATTCCTTGAGGGCAAGCATCCTGTTTTACGCCTTTTTATTCCATCAAGAGGGTTTAGCAGAGCTCCAGAAAGGGAGAAAATACCCCACAGGCATCTGTCAATTGCCTGATTTAATAAAGGGATTCCACCCAACTCAGTTCTGCAGGTTACAGCATTTTCTACTACCTTTCATTTCACCACACTCAAGTAAGCCTCAAAAAGCACATGCCATGACAAAACTGGAATTACATTTACGTTACCTGTACCCACATGCCTCTCTCTTCCAATGAGCTCTGGCAATACTGATAATAATCAGACTTACAAAAGAAAAAAGGAGTAGAATAAATAGGAATAGGTACTGTTGTCTCCTTACCTTGAGTGGGAGCAAAGTATAAATGAGCGTACTGAAGGAACAAAGCAGTAGCAAAACGATTGTTGTTGAGTAGAGCAGCCATTGCTTCCAGGATGGTCTCTGTGCTCCTTGAGGACCTGAATGGCTTAGAGGCATATTCTCCATGTGGCTCAGACTCATTCTCTGCAGGAATGGGAGCTGTGGAAAGCAGAAATTCGCAAGTGATGAGCACATGATGCAACTAGCCAGTTTTGTGGTAGTATGATAATTAGCAGTGGGTGTAAGAGGCGGGGTTTTCCTTCTGATTCTTGTGTGTTGGAAACGATACTACTAGGCCAAGTGCTGACTTTCATTTGGCACCAGGCCGAGAGCACCAAAAGGAACAGACGGCTAAAAGCCAAGAGAAACAAAGCGACATCACAAGGGAAGTTGAGAGGGAAGAAAGTTATTTCCTGAAGCAAGAGGAAGTATGGGAGCATGCAGCATTACAAACTATTTCCAGATTAGAAAATTACTTTTTTTTTTAAATTGAAGTACCATCAGGTACAATGAAAATTATTTTTGTAGGGAGAAATGAATTTCAAGATGGACTGTCATACTTCAAGTATCATGTATGTGTGAGATAGGAATTTGGGGAGCTAGGGAGGCTGGGATGCATGGTTTAGAAATAACAGTTCCATCAATGTCTAAGATGTAAGATGGGTTCATTCTGAGATAGTCTCTAGAAAACACCAAGTGTACTACCAAAATTTAATTTTAAAAAATACGTCAATACAAGAAGCTCAATTCTCTCTTATCTCACCATTTTTAAATTCAGAAAACTCAGTGCTGGGCGTCAAGTAGAAATAAAGTTAACAGACAAAAGGATATTTTCTTGCACCCTGTCCTCTGGTCTGAGCTCACACTCTATTCCAAAAAACATGAGTTTTCTTCCTGGCACCAAAAATGCTGATTTCCTACAAAATTGAGGAAATCTCCGGTTCTCTGTACCTCAGTCTTTCCATCTGTTAAATGGAAAGCCTTCTCTTTTTTTTTTTTGATCATGTGTTTGTTAGAAGGAACATGGACTTTTAAATCAGACAGAACTGAGAGGGAGGCCTTGTGCTGCACAGCCCTCATCTGCTCCGCGGTCTGGTTACTTGACTTCTCTGTTTCCTTAGTTGTAAAATGGAGGAAATGTCCACTTCTTAAGATTTTTTTGAGAATGAAATAAATGTGAAAGACTTGGCTTGTAAGAAGTGTTCCGTAAGCGTTTCTCTCTTCTCTACCCTCCTTAGAGATGTTGTGAAGACTGAATTATGAAATCCTAGAAAAGAAAAATTATTTAAAAATATTTACCATGAGGTATAATTCAGCTGAAGTTCATTTAAATAAAAGGGGATAAAATGAAAGTATTTTGAGGAAAAAAATTTTTAATCTAAGAGAATCAACTTTTTTTTTTTAATTAGGAAAAAGGCCTAGAGGCTTAACATCCTCATTTACGAAGAGGATGCTAAGGGTAACAGAGGTTGAGAAGTGTTCCACACCAATAGCTGGGTGACGGTGGGGTGGGAGCCTGAGCCCAGGGATGCCCTTTGTAACCCAATCATCATTTCTTAGAACCACACTATCTGCACCAATATTTCTCACTGAGTCTTCGAATTTTAACTTGGCCCTATTTTATTTACCTTGATCAATGAAGTATCCCTGAAGAAAAGAGTCACCGAGTCACATAGGAATAATTTTTCAACACAACAGTGTTTCTGGGGCTCTGTCCTAGATGCTATGATGCAGGAGTGAGTAATAAACTGACTCCAGAAGAGCGATGCTCTGGCCCTGCAGCTTTCCCTTGTATCGTGTCTGAAATGCATATGCACCAGCGCAGAATTTAAAACTGACCACTGAAAAGGCACACTATCTCCTTCCTGCTTCTCTGACTTGTTCTTTCTCCTGATTTTTCTCCAAATTTTAAATGGAATTGCCTCTGCTTACTCACTTCAGTAAGTACTTAAATGAGGAATTATTCCAAATAAAATCCAGTTCCTCCTTCTGCCCTTAACCAACATTAGGCTCGGGGATATCCTGATTAATTATTTCAATCTTATGAAAATATCTCTAAAAAGATGCCACGCTTATCTCAAGAAGAATGCATTCCAGGGCTTCTTTCCATCAAACATGTTCTGAAATGAAGAGACTGCAAGTCAGGACCAGCAGCAGTAGGGAAGACTTCTGAAGTTCTGGAGTGATGCATCATCGCTGGTACCTGTTTGGTATCTCAGATGTGACATCTCAGAAGTTAACAAGAAGTTAATGAACACGAAACCCAAGTGTTTGTATTTACGGCCTGTCATTGGCTCAGATCTTTGGAATGAGAATTTTTTTTCAATTAAGTCCAATTAGCAAATTCATGCCAAACATTGACTAGAAGCCCACTACTCTGCTAACAGCTTTCAAGGCTATAAAAAGGAGACACGGCTGTCAAGGAATTTGCCAGCCTACTAGATTAAACGCTTACACACAGGGAGGCATAAGCCCAAACACTCAAAGTCAGAGCCTCAGAAGAGAAAGACCTAAAAGAGCTAAAATAGTTGAGAAGACAGGTTGCATGGAAATGAACTG